GCTAGGAGTAGAATGGCTAGTTTGTAAGGTAGGATTCTGTGTAACTTTTTACAAAACTACTTATATAGCAAAGACAACAAAACACTGCTAAGATAAATTAAGGAAACAAGAATTTCTTATTTTTATCAATGTTTATAATAATGTTAACATTCTTTTATATATTAAATTCCTAAAAAAGTTTAATTTCTTTAAAGAAATTAAAGAAAACTCCCCAAAATTTGGAAATTGTTTTCCAAAGTATATTGTATCATTTTATACCCGCAATATATGAGTGTTGTAGTTGCTGCACATGATTGTCAGCACTTGGTCACTCATACATGTTTTGCATATATTTTCTTTGGCTTGTCCTTTTCATTTTTGTAGCACTTATCTTTTGAAGAGCAAGTTTTGAATATAGATAAAGTAAATTTATTGATTTTTTTGATAGTTTTATTTTTGTATCCTATTAAGAAATATTTGCAGAACCCAAGGTCACTAAGATTTTATTCTATGTTAAGTTTAGATCTGTGATCCATTCCAAGTTAATATTTGTGTGTGTTGCATTGTGAGGGTCAAGGTTCATTTTTTTTTTTTTTTTGCATGTAAGTCTTCATTTGTTTGTTTCAGCATCATTTGTTCAAAAAAATTATCTTTTCCCTATTGGTACCTTTTGTTTAAAAAATTGACCATGTGTGGGTCATTTCTGGACTCTTCTGTTTCCTTGATCTTTTTGCCTATCTTTATTTTAACACCACAAGTGCCTTGATTATTGTAGCTTTCATAATAAGTCTTGAAATTAGTAGTGTAGATATTCCAACTTTATTTCTTATTTATTTATTTATTTTGGTTTGGCTGTTGTAGGTTCTTTATATTTTCATATAATTTCAGAATCAGGTTTTCAACTTCTCCATAAAGCCGTATTGAAATTTGGAGTAGGATTTCATCAAACCTATAGATCATTTTGTTCAGAATTGACGTCTTACTTATATTGAGTTTTCTAATCCATAAACACAGTATGTCTCTCCATTTATTTAATTTTTTACTGTACAAGTCTTGGGTATCTTTTGTCAAATTTATTCCTAAGCATTTCCTATTTTTGTATGCTGTTGTAAATGGCATTCTTTTTAAAAGTTCACAATTTCTAATTGGTCATTATTGGTATATAGAAATACCACTGATTTTTGCACATGACTTTGTTTCTGCAGTCTTTCAGTAGTTTTTTTTGTAAATTCCATAGTATTTTCTACATAGTCAATCATACAGTCTGTGGATTAAAAAGTTTTATATTCTTCCTTTCTAATGTGTCAACTTTTTATTTTATTTTTCTTGCTTGATTGTGTTGCTAGGATTTCTAGTACCATATTGTGAAGAAGTGATGAGAGCAGACATCCTTATCTTATTCCTGATTGTAGGGGAGAAGTAGCCTTTCACCACTAAATATGAAAAATGTGCCCTTTATTGGGTGAGGAAGTACCCTTATATACCCAAATTCCTGAGAATTTATATTAGGAATGGATGCTGGATTTTGTCTAATGCTTTTTTATATCCACTGAGATGATTATATAGTTTTTCTGTTCTAGTCTGTTAACATAGTGAATTGTATTGGTTGATTTTTTTAATGTTAAATCAATCTTGCTTTCCTGGGATAAATCCCAATTGGTCATGATGTATTTTCCTTTTCACATATTCTTGTTATATATCATTGTTATATATTCTTAATTTTTTTGGTAGGTTTTTTTTTTTTTTCTTAGAATGCCTTTGTCTGCTTTTGTCCCTTGTAAGAATTTTCTGACGAATAGATTTTCTGATAGATTTTTTGGGGGGAAGAGTTTGAGTAGAATTAGTATTTTTTTTCTTTCTTAATGTTTGGTATAATTCACCAGTGAGAACATCTTTATGGAGTTTTCTTTTAGAAGGGTTTAAAAAAATTATTTTTGAGGGGGAGTTACTTTTTCTGCTGATTATTAGAAGTTGAAATAATTTTAAAGTAAACATTCATATACCCACTTTCTAGATATATTTGCTTTATCACATACCTATTCATTTATTCTCCCTTCTAACCATGTATCAACTTACGTTATTGATATATTTCAAAATAACTTATAGACAACACTATATTTCACTCATAAATACATTCCCATGCATAATTTGTGAGTTAAATATTTTTTAGAGTTTTAAAAAAATTTTTCTTTGAGTAAAATGTAAATGTAGCTAAAAGTATACCGTACATGTACTAATCATTGAATTTTGATAAATACATACATTTTTGTAACCCAATTTTTTTTAAAGATAAAGATCATTACCATTATTCAGAAACTTTTGTCACACCTCTTCTCAGACAGTCCCAACCCACACTCCTGAGGCAAGCAGTGTTCTGGTTTTTTTCTATAACTAGTTTTGCTTGTTTTGTAACGTCATATAAATGGAATAATACAGTATACGTGAGTGTGTGTGTGTGTGTGTGTGTGAGTGAGTGAGTGAGTGAGTGAGTGAGAGAGAGAGATAGTATAATTTCTTTGAGGTCAGAGAACATACTCTATATGATGCTGTACTCTTGCTTTATCCCCTATTACATGGCATTTTTCATAAATGTTGTTATGGGTATTTTCTTCTTGTTGGTTTTATGTTTCTACATCTGTTCTTTCAGTCAACCTCATTAGTCATACTGTTTGTTTCTTAATTCTTTAAAAAAATTCTGCCCTGGCCGGTTTGGCTCAGTGGTTAGAGTGTCCGCCCTCATACTGAAGGGCCCTGGGTTCAATTTGGCCCAGGGCACATACCTGGGTGGTGGGCCTGATCCCTAGCCCTGGTCGGCTGAGTGCGGGAGGCAACCAATCAATGTCTCTCTTTCACATCGATGTGTCTCTCTCTCTTCTACTCTCTCTGAAAAGCAATGGAAAAAAATCTCCTCGGGTGAGGATTAAAAAAAAAATCTGGCCCGGCCGGGCATGGCTCAGTGGTTGAGCATCGACCTAGGATCCAGGCGATCTGGGTTCGATTCCTGGTCGGGGCACATGCCCGGGTTGTGGGCTTGATCAATGACTCTCTCATCATTGATGTTTCTATCTCTCTCTCCCCCTCCTTTCCTCTCTCTGAAAATCAATAAAGATATATTTAAAAAAAAAAAAAAAATCTGTTGGTTCATATATATCTTGTTCTTCATATTTTAACATTAATCATAAAATTTGAATATAACAAAATTGATTCCTTGTGTATACAGCTTTATGAGTTTTGACAAATGCGTATGGTTGAGTCTGTACTCAAAATCAAGATGCAGTTCCATTAACTAAAAATACCCTCGTGATGCCTATTGTTTATCAGCCCTTCCTTCCCCTGCCCCCTACCACTGGAAATTGCTGATTTGTTTTCAATCCCTATAGTTTCGCCTTTTAAAAAAATGACATATAAATGGAGTCATACAGCTTGTAGCCTTTTGAATATGACTTATTTTACTTAGCAAAGTGCATTGAGATTCATCTATGTTTTGCATGTTTTAATTGTTTCTTTTTGTTGCTGAGTGGTATTTCATTGTATTGGAGGTACCATTGTTTCTCCAAGGACATTTAGGTTGTCTCCAGTTTTTGGCGGTTAGGAATGAAACTGCTATAAACATTGGCATACAGGTTTTGTTGTGAACCTAAGCTTTTATTTCTCTTGGGCAATACATAGGAGTGGGATCGCTGGGTTTTATGTGAGTATAGTTTTAACTTTATAAGATACAATAGGTTTTAAACTATAGATTCTAATTCTTTCATTCTGTTTAGGTTTTTGATTTTTTTTCTTGAGTGAACTTTGGTAATTTTTGTCTTTCAAAGTATTTACTCATCTCTTCTTTTGAATTTACAGGCATAAAATTCCCCAACTCCCCTGGTTTTCCTTTTTAATATCTGTAAAATCTGTGGTGAAATTACTTCTTAATATTTGAAATTTGTCACTTTTTTTTATCACTTTGGCTGGAGGTTAATTTTTTAGATCTTTTCAAAGAACTAAATTTTGGTTTCATTGATGTTTGGCTGTTGATTTTGTTTTCTGTTTTGTTGACTTCTACTTTGATTTTTATTATTTCCTTTCTTCTGCTTACTTTGGGTATATATAATACTTTGGGTTTAACATAATGTAGATTTTTTTCTCTCTCTCTGGAAGTAAATTGACAGATTTTGAAACCCTCGATTCAATCTACTTTGTGTGTGTGTGTTTGGTTTTTAGGTGAGAGCATAAGACTTTGCTAATAGCAAGATTTCAGAGAGAATGAAATTAGTACTATTTTTAATTAGTAGAAGGACGTAAGATTTTCTTTTTGTTTTGAATATTGATTTTTCTGCCTGTTCATCTGACATCTGTTTCTAATTATAAATGAAACATATCTATAAATTATGAAAGTACTTGGAATTCCCATGACTAGCCCTGTGAAATTTACCACACAGAACTATCAAAGTTAAATATGTGACATCCTTTAAGTGGGGCAAAATATTGTGGAATAAAACTCTATTCTTGTCTTTGATCTTAGGAATTATTTAACCTAAAGAACTAGACAATGTTTACTTGAACTCAGAATATAAAGCATTTAAATCCTGAGGTTTTCCCAAATGAGTAACCATTAACTAAGATATAAGGTAATTGTGGAGTTGTTTTCATTTGGTATGTTTTGATGTGTGAGATTAAGAAATTTCTGTTGTGGATGGAGTGGAATTTGTATTACTCTTTTAGGTTGTCTTCAAAAGCCTGAATTAAAATCACAAAAATGAATTGCTCTGCTGTTTGAGCATTTTATTTAAATATTAAAGCAGATTTTATTTCCTCTGTAAATAGGAGTGATTTTATTTTTTAGACAGATGAAATTCGCTTGAAAAATCAGTTTGTTTCTTTTTTAAATGCTTATTTCTTATGTAGTCTTGAGTAAGAAATATAGGTATAATTAGAAATTGGACTATGATAGAGGGATGTGATAATTATAGAACTACATGAAAATTATTTTCTTTATTTACTTTTCTAATTGTTTAATGTTACATTTTCTCTTTTAGATCCTATTTGACCAAACTCAGAGATCAATTAAGGCACAGCTTCAGAACTTTGTTAAAGAGTAAGTCAATTGCAGTGAAGGAAAAAGTAAAGCATTTAGTTAATTATTACATCTAGGAGTTGGTATCTTTGGAGAGAAATTATGGAACATGAATTACGAAAACACTAGAGTTATTTTTGTTTTGCTTTGTGAAATGTATATTGTATTTTTCCAGAATTATTTTGTATAGAATGAGACTTAATACCTTATAGTGAATCATTTATATTATGAAATATGTATTCAGGATACATAACTAGAATTGTTATAGATTAAATAAATGTAAGAAATCTAATGACCTTTTAAAATCAAAGCAAGCCTCAAGAGTGGTTGAAATACTATCAGTTATTATAGTTGATATAAAGTTTTGCATTCTCTCAAGATGGTATTTTTTTTTGAAGAGATTATATGAGAATGAGTAATGAAAGCACATCCTTTTGTTACATATGAGCCTTTTGTGTCACATTCATTACATTTGTAAAAAAAGTATCGAACTTTCCTGGTTTTCCTTTTTCACATTAATAATCCAGATTTTCTCTTTTAATTCCTGACTGAGAATATATAAAATTAGAGATAAAGTTGATTATAATACAGTACTCAGGATAAATTATAGATGTTATGAGCTGTAAATAGTGGCAGCTCACATAAATGAAATGCACTGCCATTTTAGAATTGTTGTAGCAGAGGTGATGTCTTACAGGTTCTTTTTAAATTACTTCATAATAGACTAATGTTCAGAATGTCCTGATAATAGACTAATGTTCAGAATGTATACATGAAAGTTAGTGGCTTCTTACCAGAGTTCTTTCTTAGGTAAACTTTATTATTATTATTATTTTAAAATTTGTTATTTTGCCTACTTCCCTGATAGAAAAAGTAAAAGCAAAGTGATGTTATGTACTTACCTAGGATTATTAATGAATCAAGGGCTTCAGATTTTCAGACTATTGAAATGGATACTATTAACCCTTTATGGGTACAAGAATTCTTTTAGAAAGCATTATGAGTTTGTGTTTTAAGAATACATTCATGTCCTTTGGACCAGCAGTTCCCTTCAACAAGAAATAAATGTTGTTTCTTAAAGTGTGGTCTGAGACCACCAATAGCAGTAAAGTCAAGGGTGTGTCTTAGTATACCTAATCCCACCTGCTGATTTCTAGGATTTATCACAAAGACTAATGAATTGTAATCTCTGGGAGAAGAAGAACCTTGGAATTTGCATTTTTAACAAGTTCCCTATGGTGATTCTTATGTATACTACTATTTAAAAATAATTTGTTTAAATAATGATACGTGTTCCTGAATTTGTTTTTAGGGGGAAAAATTAACTTTGCCGTTTTTGTTTCTGTAATGTTATTTTGATAATTTATTTTCAAATTTATAGATGTAGGTAAGGAAATGTTCTGTGACTGTTAGGAATTATATATAATTGAAAAACAATGTGTATTGTAGTCAGAAGAGCTATTGAGTATTATTGCACAGTGAATCAAATAAATAGAGGAACATAAAAATTAAATTCTAAATGTTATTTTGCTAAAGGTTTTTATCAAGAAAGTTTTATAAAAGTTTCACTGTTTTCATTTTTTAGAGATCTTAGAAAATTCAAAGATGCCAAGAAGCAATTTGAAAAAGTCAGTGAAGAGAAAGAAAATGCATTAGTAAAAAATGCTCAAGTACAGAGAAACAAACAGCATGAAGTTGAAGAAGCCACAAACATTCTGACAGCAACAAGAAAATGTTTTCGACACATAGCCCTCGACTATGTACTTCAGGTACATTTATTATATATTTTCAAAAAATGCTTACTGAACATGTTATTACTTTTGAGTTGATTGCACTGAAAAGAATTAATAATTTTTTTTTTTTAGTTTAAAATTAAACTGAAATTTTGTGAAAAAATTTCACTTACTTGTTTGTCTGTGAGTGTGTGGATATGTATAACTTTGGTTGTGATTTCTTCCCCCGTTCAGTTAACATTATACTTTCTCCATTTAAAATGTTATAAAAAGCATTTTTAATTGCTGTATTTTATTTTGTGTAGTTGCTGTGTCAATTTAATTAATATTTTATTGAGATATTTTTAGTGTTGCCATTTTTTCTGGCAATAGTGAAAATATAATTTTCAGTCATTTTAAATGATAGTAACATCTTTGTATACAGATCTTTTGCCACATTTCTGATTATTTCTTAGAGTAGATTCTAGAGATAGTAAGGCTCACCATATTGCCAAATGAAAAATATTTCTAGAAGTAGTGTTCTCATGTTTTGCATTAGGTGCTGCTTTTTAAAACTATAGATCAGTGTCTGGTAAGTTGCCTGCTGATCATCTGGTCCAATGTATAATTGAAACCAATTTGAAGGAGATAGATCTCTAAATAAATTTGAGAGAGATGAAAATAGAAAGCCACACATTATACATTACCTTACATATACATTATGTGTCCCTATAGATCATGGAGTGTAAAGCTTAGGGAATTATCTTTTCTAAATCTCCTGTTACAAAACATCAGTGAGTCCCCAGAGAATGCTGACTTAATGATGATCACAGACTGTTCCCCCCCCCCAGTTTATCTTTATTGTTGAAAGTATTACAGGTGTCCCATTCCCCCCCCAACTAACCCCCTCCCTCTCACTCCTTCCCCCTCCCTAGGCTTTCACCCTGTTATTGACTGTGTCCATGGGTTATGCATATATGCATATAACTTCTTTGGTTAATCTCTTCCCATCCTCCATCCCCCTTCCCTCTTTCCTCTGAAATATGATCGTCTGTTGCATGCGTCAGTGTCTCTGGATCTTTTTAGTTCATCAGATTCTTTTGTTCATTAGCTTCTTCTTAAAGAAGACCCTTCAACATTTCCTGTAGTGCTGGTCTGGTGGTGATGAACTCCTTTAGCTTTTTCTTATCTGTGAAGCTCTTTATCTGACCTTCAGTTCTAAATGATAGCTTTGCTGGGTAGAG